CCCCTTTGGTGCTGGTATTTTGCTAGATTCTAATAGTTCTTTGTGTTATATATGTGTTATATGTGTTATATGTGCTCTTTTGCTGAATATATTTGATTTCATGAGTTATTTCAATTTATATGATTATATATAATATATTAAGTCTTATAGTGAAAGTTTAGATCTTAGGGTTTAAATTCTAAACCCTTAGCATATGTTTGAATCTCGTGGATAATTCTTGGATTATGGAACATTTTGAAGTCCGAAACACAATGGCTTTGGCCTTGTACAAATTGGACTTGTATTTTCCGAGTTATGAATTTTTGAAGTCGAGGTCGTTTCTGAAATTTGTTAAATACATGATAAATCGTGTAATAATCCAAAAATTATGAATTTTGGATATGTTTCTCTTGTGTTATGTATATACTGTGTGTTAAGTTTCATAATTTTTGGAGTTGAATTGCTAGGGTAATTAATTAATTATTTGTTTCTGCAGAATATTTGAAAAATCATATAAAATCGAGATCTTAAGATAAATGCATTAATCTGGCCCTTCTGTGAAATCCCCGTGATGAACAACAAACAATAGAGGAGTACGCATTCTGGTCATTAGGCTTATTTTATCATGTATTTGATGCAGTAAAAATTTCATAAATTATGGGATTCGTTTTATTAAGGCTTTGTTAAAATCGGGTTCTTGACTGAAACTTTCAATAATTTTCATAATTCACATGTTTATTTTTTATACTTGAAATTTTTATATGTTGTTCCTGGTATGTTATAGTTGTTAGCATAAAATTTTTATGTCCTCAATCATCCTTTTGGCCAGTCAATAAAATCCATGATCGTTTGTGCTGCAAAATTGTTTTATTTTTATAAAATCACATATTTATGGTTTAAGGCCAACATTTGGTGAAAATTATATACACAGCATTCTCTTATATATGTAAAAGTTTCAAATCATAACTCATTCTTTTGATTGGGCACCTTTCAAATGTGTCTTACGTATCGACATTTTGAAAAAAATCCGGGTTATTTTGCTTAAGTGTAAATTCTTGCATAACCTTCTATGTAATGTGGTCCCTTGATGTTGTTTTATATATGCTTGTTGTTAGTGTCGAGCCTCGAATTGATTTTTTTTTTGGTACCCCGATTGGTACCGGTCTTCGGATTCTTTTCAGAGCCTTTGACTTTGACGTTTTGTTTGACTTGGTCAACCTTTAATTTATTATTATATGTTTTTCCCATACTTGGTCCGAGTCGAGTCAATGTTCTATAACTCCACGAGAATTTTCCACGAGCCGCTTAGTTGACGAGTTCGACTAAGTTTGTGTACTCGTTGGATTTATTGTAATTGAGAGGCTATCTTAATTTCATGTAGGTGTTTTGAGGTGTTGACCTCGCCACTTACCGAGCTTCGCTTTTTGTGATTTTTGGCTACCATCAGGTGGGTTTTACTTATAAAGTTATCTATGCCATACGTGTGTTTAAGTGTTTGGTTGGTATGACCTATGTATGAATGTGAACCATGTGGCCTACTGATGTGAGCTGTTACGGCCGTCGGTACGGTAGTCCCCGTCGAGTTACGGTACGGTTGCCCTTGCGAGGCAAGTCTCCTTAAGACCTAATGAAAGGTCGTGTCCGTTACAGTGGCACGCACTCCCGTCGTTAGGGTTTATGCATCCCCTTTCCGCGGCTAATGATAGATGTGCACATGAGTGAGTTATTGTTGAGATTAGGAGATGAGACATGATGATGATTGATTTATATTCATACTGCGACCATACCATCTTACCGTGTATTATTTATGTGCATAGTGGTGAGCACGCTTTTCATCTAGTGCTCATCCCCACCTGCTCTTTACCGATGCAGGTTAAGCAGGAGCTGGGTGACGAGAAGAGGCGAGTGGGTCGGTTGTTTTTATTTGTTTATCGCTTCCGTATGAATAAGGTTTTATGAACCATTATGTTGGGACTTGATTATGATATTTTCCAAAAACCTATGGTTTGTTGTTTAGGAAAAATTTGTGGAACCCGGATTGTTGGGTATTATGGTTGATGATATATGCATGTTGAGTATTATGTCTCGTGATGTGTTTCGGTTAATGAAAACCGTTTGTGAAAACCGGGTAATGAATCCCCGTGAGCCCAGATAAGACTTGGGTTATGAAAAATGTTGTTTAACACCCATTGAATTTTCGAAAATGATTTTGAAAATTTTACCCTGATATTTAGAAAGTCCGAAATTTCTTTAAAATCAAAGTGGGGTGTTACAATTAGCAAGCATCCGTGTAATACACGGACGTTGTACTAGTTAGTATTATTAACGGACATCAAGTATAATTAATTTGGGGTTAAAGAAATATAAAAAATAAAGTATCGTTCATCTACAATAACCTCCATCTACAATAACCTGATTAGATACTTAAAATTATAAACAATAACCTAATTAAAGTAATACGAATTATTATTATGTTAAACCCTATTGGTAGATTAAGTTCCAATATAAAAAATTTGGTTATGTCATAAAATATAATTAATTAATTGTAATAAAAGAAACTTGCTTAATGAGGTGAATTGAAAAAAAAAAATAACAATTTCAAATATATAGTTTAAAAAAGCTTTAGAATAGACTAACATTTAATGTTTCTTCATTATTAGTTAATAGTAACAATTATATAATAAAATAAGTAAAAAATATGATTACGATTAATGCAAAAGTAACTAAAAAATGAGAGAAACAAAAAGAGTGTTATTATTAATTGCTTTACTAGCATATTATATATATAGATTATTATTATTATTATTATTATTATTATTATTATTATTTTTTTGTTTTTTATTATAATTATTATTATTATTATTATAGATCGGATCAAAATAATTACAAGAAATTGGAGGGGAGCCGAGATACTATCTGGGCCCCCACTCCTTATTATTATTATTATTACTTTTATTATTATTATTATTATTATTATTATTATTATTATTATTATTATTATTATTATTATTATTATTATATGAAATCAAAATGATTACAAGAAATTGGAGGGGAGCCGAGATACTATCTGGGCTCCCACTCCTTTAGCAATGGAAAAGCTAATACGAGTGAAAATATGAGGAGCGGCACGTGCTCCCGCATCCTGAGATACAGAATACTTCTGTATCCTCTTGAGTAGGGCGATGGCCTCCGTGTGCAACTCCCCCAATGAAGAGAAAGAGAATGGAAGAAATCCATAGCCCTTAGTTGCACACAAGGCGTCATATTTCGCACGTTTGCGCTGAGCGGCATCAACCACAACACGTCCCGGAACGAAGTCAGACATCCCGAACTGGGTCAAGGGCGAGGAACCAGTCAAATCAACGCAGACGTCAAGCCCCCTATCCCATGAGTAAAGTAATAAGTCAGCAGGGCGAAGTGGTCTATCTTGCGCATCAAGGAGTCCAATATCGACCTCCTTACCAACAGAGATCCCGGAGCGAAAGCAGACATCTGAAAGAGTATCGCGAACAAGGTTATGGCGATGTTTAATGGCAACAACACCGGCACATGACACCGCATGGTCGCCAAATATATCCCCGTCAAAGACCCGAGAGCAAGCCGAACATGGTCTGGAAATGGAAAACAATGGCACACCTAACCGATAGCAGAGCACAGCACGGTAGGTCTTACCATTCATCGTTTGCCCTAACCCAGAAATCGGGACTGCGCGGAGCCAATCTGATGCGTGATCACCCTGTTGCGACTTCCACAAGGCCACCTGCCTAGGAGATAAGGAGAATACAGATTCCGCCGAATCGGTAACTCGAGTGAAATATATATCTGCCAATTTATTCATGAATTTGGGGGCAGCAATCTCACTAGAAGCACTCAATAAGTCAGTATTTGCAACCCTGTTAAACACCTCCAAAGCATCACCAAAGGTAATGCCCGCATCAGCGATCCCAGAAGGAAGAAGAAGCTTATCCTGTAACCCTGCAGACTGAAGCCTGGACGCCAGAAATGCATAATTTACCACGTCCCCAGCACAATAGACTCCCAGGCCTCCAAACGAAAAAGGCAAGGTGGCAAGCCGCCACTGCCAGTCACCAAACCCGGGACCAGACGCGGTGACAATGCGCTCTAAACTAGCGCGAAGGGCCAAATCAAAAGCATGCTGCGCTGCAGTAAAAACATGAGGGGGGCAAGTGCGCATGGCGAAATAGAGCTTGGAAATACCTGCACAGGCACGGAGTAGTAGCAACTCACATTGCGGATCATTAATCTTAGCAACCGCATCCATAAGCTCAATAGTTCTGGCTACTCTCTTCATCACAAGCTGAGAACTGAAGTCATCACTTACACTAACAGGTCCACCAAGAACCTTGACCCCAAGCTGAGGTCGAGCAATATTGTCTGGGAAGACTCCAGCAAGCCGGCTCCGAGGATCCTCATTAGGCCAGAAAACCTCAGTTTTATCAACATTAAGATGTAAACCCAATTGAGGACCATCTTCCATGATCAACTGAAGGACCTTACCCACAACCAGGGTGTCTCCCACAATCGTGCCATCATCTAAGTACCAAGCCTGTAGAGACAAGTCAAAGGTGTCTTGAATCTTACGGACCAAAGGATGTAACGCTAAGGCGAAAAGTAGCGGGCCAAGGGGGTCACCCTGCTGGACCCCTTGGCAGGATCTTAAGGTGTGCTCCCCATAATACAACCTGGCAGGGCGGGAGTAGCAGAACTCAACCCATCGCGAGAGAGAAGGGCAGCGAGAACGCATCTCATACAGCATAGCCTCACGATCTACCAAGTTAAAAGCATTCTTGAAGTCAACCAGCAGCATGGAAAGGCCTACGGCATCTCCACGGGCCTCTATTATTATTATTATTATTATTATTATTATTATTATTATTATTATTATTATTATTATTATTTCTTTTCAAAATCGAGGCACCGCGAAAATCTATTTTTATTTTTCCTGCTGCAAAGGCTGAAAAGAACCGAGACTCACCAAACCTAACATCCGCCGGGGACCTATGGACCCCCGCCGGGTAGTCCCCAGCGCAGTCAGCGACCCGATAGTCCGCCAAGTCGGTTTTTTCGCTCTGATGGGTCGATCCGACCCGATACCGTCGTCATCTCCGGCCTCCAACTTCTCTCCCTCCGGCAACTCGTTGTCTCCCGTCATGATCCCGCCGCCGCGCCACCTGTCCATCGGCCAATCGCGAAACTTGGACATGGCGCCTGCCCTTCAATTCCTGTCGGCAGCTACAATTCATCTGAATTCTTATCCCCTACCGAGACCGCGGATGTTTCCGAGGATCTTAGGGATAGTTCATTGGAGTTCTCTGCATCTCTCCCATCTGTGCGTTTGACAATGGAGATGGACGTGGCTCAGGGCGATGTGAATGTTGTGAAATTGCCCGCCAATGTACGAGGTGATCCTTTCCCCTGTTTCTGTTTTTCCTTTCTAGTTTTTCGATTTATATCTATCTCTTTCGACTTTTTCCACCTCCTTAATTAAGAATTTCTTGAGATTTTTGGAATTGATTTCTTTCTGGAACAGATGGAGGAGGGCAAATGATGGAAAGCTGCTGAAGGAGAAGACGACAAAAGCCGAACATCGAGCGATTCAGGAAGCACAACGAGCTGCCAAGGCTGCTTCTAAAGGTGAGCAACTTGTGCTTCTCGCATATCTGGAGATTTTACCTAGTTTTAATGTTACTCGTACTTATATGATTACCTCATTTCGTAGGGCATATATTTCTCGTGAAGAACTATGGCAATAAGGTGACTTATGATTTGTTTTAATGGGAGAAAGTCGCAGTGTATATATATATTTGGTCTAGTTCTTGATGTATTTTGCTTCAAACACTGCTTAGATAGCTGCGCAGATGTATGAAGCAACTCTCACTTTGCTGAGCTTATATATTAATTTTATCAAATTTATCCATTTTGCATTGGTTAGGTGGGTAATCTCATGAGTGTAAGTGTGTGACTCATATGAACTGCTGTCACAAGCTTTGAGTTTCATGGTTTGTTTGTTTATTATCAAATTATGAGATGCTGCTGGGTTGATTTTGGTGATCTTCGTCTGTTAGTACTGTTTGTGAGTGTATGTTTGAAAATATAGAAGCAAACGATTTTTATGACATTGCTCCATCACTGATATGATTCTTCTGTGATTGTATTGTGTTCAGTTAGTGAGGTGCTTTTTATGTTTGCATGAGGAAAGGCAGTGTTAGCCTAAACGCTACACGGTAAACAGTCGGCGAGGGCACGTGTAGTGTTTAGACGGTGTACACGGCGTGTA